TATATATATATATATATATATATATATATATATATACAAGTAAAGAAAAAAAAATGAAGAGAGGGAAAGATGATTTTGTGTATGCACGAGAAAAAACAATATATATATATATAGAAAAAAAGAACAAAAAAAAAAATATTAAGAAAGAGACTTGCACACATAATCAGCGATAATACGCCTTGTACTCTTCTGTGTTACTTACCGCATTAATAAATTGTTATTATTTTTATCGGCTCGCATTTTTACTGGCACCCCTGCTCATTATTATACCTAATCGTACTTACAATGCTTTCAATATTTTTCTTTCACCCCCATTTTTTTTTTTTTTGTATAGAAATTTTCAATTTTTTCTGTTCAAAGAAAACGAAGTAAAAAAATGAATGAAAAAAAAAAAAAATACAATCCATTCGAAATTTTAAATCGTAGAAATACAATTTAAAAACAATAAAGAATAAATAATAGAAATATAACAAGTTAATTCAAAAATATCAAATAGTTAAACTATTTTTATTCTCGTTCGTGAAATGAGGTACTGTTCAAATAACACAATTAAGCTTTTCTTATAAATAATTTATTTTAAAAAAATATTCTTTTTCTTCTTCTTCTACTACTTGTAATTATAAGTTGCATGCTTCGTGCAAATATTTATTTCTTCTTTTCTTATATTATTATTATTTTTTTTTAATTTTATTTCTTTTTCTTAAATTAGTTAAATACTCGCTTTTAGTAGTGTCACGATAGAGTGGTGTAGAATTATTATAATACTATATATACAATATATATATATATATTATATTTTGTTGTGAAGAATAAAAATCTTCTATTACTCGAAATATAAAATACGATTGGACGAGACATTGTCAGATTTTACAGGTAAGTTCTATATTAGGTAAGCTAATAAAATAAAACAAACATTTTTGAAAATTCTATTTCGAGTATAATTAAATTATACTCGTCTAATTGAACAAAACAACAAAATTCATTTATAATATCATATTAAACTAATGATATCAAATGATGACATTTTTACAGGAGGTTGTTATTTCATCAAGCTCAATGAAGACTACAATATCATCATCATCGTCAATGAAATTGGAAACCAGCACGAAATTAAACAATATCGATTCCGTATCATCTAACAAAGTTATGAAGACGTCATCGAAGGTAAAAATACCACCTGGTGTATTACCAATTCTCATGATAATGGATCAAAATGTTGAAAAGATTGATAAAGAGAAGAAGATCAATAATAAAAAAGAAGGGAAAAAAAATGACGTAACTGGACAAAATTATATAACATTGAAGAAGAAAAATATCATACCAGAAGTAAATAGTAAAGAAAAAAAAAATGAAATAGATAAGGATAAGGATAAGGATAAGGATAATGATAATGATAAGGATAAGGATAATGATAATATTGATAATAATGATAACATAGATTCACCGTATAAAATTTTATCAGCAAAAAAATATGATGATGATGAGAACGTTGATGGTAGACGACAAAATGGGAATTGGTTTAAGGTGAAACCAGGTGTACAGGAATTTGGGGAGGAACCTAATCCGATCGATCGATTAGCTGGGTAATAATTAGATTTTATATACATTATATCGATTTGTAATTAATACTTTCAAGATAACAAATCTAAATTTAATTCAATCTATCCCAAATATATTATATTATATAATATATTATTAATATACTAATTATTAAATTAATATTAATATATATATATAATATATATTATTATATATAATATGTTATATATTATATTTTAATATTTGTA